CCCGCGCGCCGCCGCTGCCACTCACGGGGCTCGCTCCGCGCATGCGCCGCCCGCGGACGCGCCGCCGCCGCTGACCTCACCGCCCCTCCCCCGCCCCCGCTCCCTCCTCCTCTGACGCGGCGGCCCCGCCGCGACTCGGGCTCGGGCTCCGGCTGCGGCTCCGGAGAGCGCCAAGCTGCGGAGGCGGGAGTCCGGGATCGGGGTCCGCGGAGGGAGCGGGAGGCGGAGGAGGGCCGCGTCCTGGCTCCCCACGCGCTCGGTCTCCCGAGAGGCGCTGGCGGGGCGAGGCTCGGACTGCCGCCCGGCGCGGCCCCGGGTGTGCGTGGGGGGAGGGGTGGGGCCGAGTGTGTGTGTGTGGGGGGGGACCCGGGTGTGTGCTGTGCACACCCGCGCGTGTGCGTGGACCGAGCCGGCAGACTTGGCCGCCTCACGTTCAGGCTGCTTCCGATTTAATGCGCGTCTATGGAGAAGGAGAAATGGAGTGCAACTTCGTTACAATCCCATTCCAGTGACAGTTTCGCTGTTGTAACGTCATTAAAAAAAAAAAAAAAAACAACGATCCAGAAAGGGCTTATAAAGCTGTCAGACAAAAAGAACGATGGCGTTTTGAGGCATGAAACGCTGAAATAGATAATAAACCAAGAGACCCTGCAGCTCGGTCTTAACGTTCAACGTGTTGTGATCAAGAGACAAAATTCGAAGTACTTCTAAGCCACCTTTTTCTTATACTGCGTGAAAATGGAAAGATGGGGCTAAAATTAGAAATCTGAAAGAAGCGCTTTCCCGGGAAGGGCAGCTACAAATGTGGAATCCTGGGTTTCTTCTCAGGGGGGTAACAAGCACAGTGTGTTCCTCTGGGCTTCCCCTTCCACTCACTACTGATGAGTATACAGGAGTGAAAACGTTATAGATTTAAATTGGGGAAAAAATATTAAGACCTGTTAACCATTTGCAAAATAATCGAACTCGTCATGTAACCAGCATATATTCTAGGCCAGACACACTAGGTACTTTCTAATTATGATTTCTTCCCATCTTCACAACACGGTTTCAGTATAGGGTACAAATAATATGCTGGCTTTTCCAGCTGCTGTTCACCTTCCCTTTCTCCCAACAGCCAAACTATAAACTTTGAACTGGGTTTCCTGTTGGGAGGAAAACTACAGTTTGACTTCCAGAGTTGATTCTGACTGAAAGCATAGTTTTTGGAAATGGCTGAAATGAAGACTATAGTAAAATAGTCATTTGAATTCCTTCAGGGTTTAATCCCTGCTGGGTTTTTCAAGTTTACAATATTGACAGCCACGGGAATTTTGAGCTTTGGGGAGAAGCCGGCGTGGTAAATGCAAACTATAAATTAAAGGTGTCTATTAAAAATAGAACTACAACATAAACATGACTAATAGATTTATGAAGTCTATTTAAAGTTTATTGTTACTCATCCTTTTTCATTCTTCTACACATTACACTTTAAAGTACACTTTCAAAAATTGGATTATTGATCTAAATGTTTATCCATGTTCAATGCTGAAATTAGAACAGCCGTTTCTAACTGAGTTTCATATGCACAAAATTATATGTCAAGATAATTTACTTTAGTCTACTTCTTCAGCGCTTGGGAGAATTTAAGTGTCGGTGTGTGCAAACTGCAAGTCACTCCTGCTGGAGAGAAGTTTTAAAAGGAAACCACGAGAGAGACTGAGGACAGAAAAGTGGGTGGAATGAATGGAAGGGTATAGAGGTTTGCCAAGTGATGCTTCTGGAAAGATAAAACGATGAGGAAGGTAAGCTCAGTCTTAAATCTCCATTCCTTTGGCTACTGTGAGCAGACAAGTAGTTAGGGTCTGTTTGAAAAGGGTAGCAGGCTCATCGGCGTGAAGTTATCATGGCAGAGCAAATAAAATATAACCCAGGATGCAAAGGAAGTAGTCAGGAAATACTTGTTCAACATAAATAAAGGTTCCCAAAGATTTTTCCTTCTCCGTTATCTAAATTGCACAGCCCTGAGACCACAATGGCAGCAAAAATCCAGAAGGCGGTAGATGAGGTTCCTCCAAGTTATAAAATCAGATGGGCATGAGCACCTGGAAAGACAAAACAAAAAGAAAGACTGCTCTTTAATAGGTCCACAGGTTAAACAGGCATTTTTTTCAATGTGCTAGACATGCGCCAAACTTAACAGCAATCATCTCTGAAGGGTTGTATTACAAGGGACTTTCACTTTCTATATTACATTTCTTTATAATAATATAATCTCTCAGAGCACATGTAGTATAATCAGAAATATATATTAAATATTTAAAATGTGGGTGTGGGTAAGAGTTCTTCAACAAAGAAAAAGCAACCTCTCATGAAACTGTAAGCCAATGAGAAGCCCAGAGTCTAGCAAACAAGTGGCAGTGGATAAAAATTCATAGTGAAGTACCCATTCTTACTCATCAAAGGCCAATAAGTGTCACTGATACTGTCTTCATTTAGAGTGTCTTTACTGCTTTGTTTTAATGAATGTAAAACTATAAGGCTGTCCTGTAGATTCACTGCTAATTGTTGTCCCTCTCTTTTTGTTTTGTCATAAAGTCTTAAATTCCTCAGGGCTTTTTAGGAACCAGGCTTTCACAGTTGTGGAAGGACCACTGAAAACTTAAATTCTAGATCTTGTAACTTTTGTGTTCATATTTTTACTATCAAAGTTACACTTTAAAAAGTTACAGTAAATGGTTATCATTTTTTCTCCTTTATTTTTCAGTAGAAAAAAATGTTTTAAAAGAATTTCAGTCACTTAAAATTAGTTCATACTTAGTCCATAGTGCGCTTTTAGCTTTTAAAGTTCATATTGCTTTACTTAAGTTATTTCGGTAATGCCTACCATGTATCTGTGTGACAGACAAAATAAAGGAAGAAACTGAGAAGAAAACAGAACAGTCACCTGCACAAATAATTTGTGTAGAAGAGTCTGAGGCATAAGTAGACCTTGTGCCGCACATTTCGTATAGATAAGAATCTTGCCCTCCAGGGGTCTGTACTCTAAGCCTGGCACGACCTAACAAGATAAACACAAAAGGGACAGGCAGGCAACTGAAAAATAAACATGGAAAAATGTACAAATAGAAAAATTAAATATTTATGTCCATTGTGTGCAAGACTAAATTTTTAAAAGAAATGTATCTGGGAGTTTGGGGGGAAGGGCACGGGTGGGAGAGGTTAGCTGACTTCTGTCCTTTCAGAAGCGGGTGGCACAGAAAGCCTTCTGCCAGTGAGTGTTATAAACTAGAAATGGGCCCTCTCCCTCTCACACACACACTCACTCACACTCACACTTTCTTAGGTTCCTCTTCTTTATTGCTGTACAAGAACTACCGTATGAGAGTCCCAGGGTTGCCACACCAAAGTACCACAAACCAGGCGGCTTTAAACAACATAAACTGATTCTCTCGCAGCTCTGGCAGCCAGAAGTCCAAAGCAAGGTCCCTGTGGTAGGCTCCAAGGGAGAGTCTGCTTCACTGCTCTCTCTGCGTCCCTGGCTAGTACGTGTGTCGCGCCAGTCTCTGCCTGTCATCACGTGGCTGTCTCCCCTGTGTGTCTCTGTGCTCACATGGTGTTCCCTCAGTGTGCGTCTTCTCTTCCTGTAAGGACAGGTCATATTGGATTCAAGATTCATCCTACTCCAGTGTGACCTCATCTTAATTACATTTGCAACAACCCTATTTCCAAATAAGGTCACAGTCGGGTTCCAAGAAGGATGTGAATGTTGGGGAGACAAAATTCAACCCAATATAACTACCAAATTGCCTATATTGATGCGTATCCATCTCAGCAGATCAAAATGTATATTGTTAGAAAATTGTATATAATGAGTTAAATGCACGCAAACTCTTCTTGGCACAAAAATTTGCGTTTACATTTATTTTACCTCTAGTCAATCTATCTAAAGGGTAAATAAAATCAAAGTGAATTTAACAATGACCATGTCCACGTAGTAAAGAGTAAACTGAGATTTAGTAGTTCCTGGGTTAGTCTGATCTTTGTTAAAGGTAGGTCAAAACTTTTCAGTCCAAAAGGTACTATTTGGGTCCTGTTTTATGAGACTGTCTTTGAGGGTCGAAGACAATGATGAGATCGTCACTGTCCCCTGTGCTGTGTAGTCAAACAGAAGAGGATTTCACAAAAGAGAATTACTACATAACTTTCCAATGGGAATGGAACTGCCAGTCCCATCCATCACCCTTCAGGCTGAAACCTAGGTTCCTTGGCATGGCCCTTTAGATCCTGGGGAGCCCTGCCACCTCCAGGCAGCTCCTCCCTTCCCTCCTCACCATGAACTCCAGCCTTCAGGACAGCTTTTGGTGGACAACACGTTTCACTAGGCTGTCCCACTCCCCTTTCCATTTTCTCCTGGCCAATTCCTACCTCTGTTTCTTCAGCTCTCACTCTAGATTTCACCTCCATCCAGACCACCACTCCCCACTTGACGATGGTTATATGTCCCCCTGGATGTTTCTATAACACCTGTGCATTCCCCCATCAGCTCTCCTGGCCTGTAACGAGTTGCCAGATTAGCTGTCTGTATCCCACCCTAAGCTCCATGGAGACAGTTGTCTGCCTTATTCACCTTTTATCCCTATTATGCAGCAGCAGCTCAATAAATAGTTGTGGAATGAGTGAAATAAATGGGAAAAATGTATGTTAAGTGCAAGAAAAAGAGCTAAGATGACCCTTTATGGGAGTGTTTGGGGTTTTTTAAAGAAAAAACTGTATCTTTATAAACAATGTATATAAACATGCATACTTTGCTACTTGTCCACATTTTTTGTTGGTCGTTACAGTTTCCATTTCTATAAACAAACAGTTAAGTCAACTTTGCGTCTATAACCAGCATTTGGTGTGACATTTTTCTCAGTGTTACTGACTTTCGGAAGCCTGGGCATGGAGAATCATACCTGTTTTTCACTCACGGAGTCTCCAAAATCAACAGAGGTCAAAAGAGTTTGTCCACAGTCTTCAGACAACATAGTATCTGCTTAGAAAAAGTTCTCTCAGCCAAGATGATATTAAGGGGAAAATGACTACAGAATACCACATACACTATGTATCCTAACAGCACGCTCCTATAAAACTGTCTCAACCCACAGCTGCCTGCATATGCACATACGTGGAAAGCAGTAATGTTCAGCAAAATGTAAGCAAGGATTGGCTCTGGGCTGGGATCCACATGACATTCACTTTCTTTGTACTTTTCAACTTTCACTGTGATTTTTTTTTCCTTTTCTTTCTCTACCATCTTGTCTGTAGAAATATTAAAACAATGCTGACCACACCATCATGACCTCTGACTTGTTTCATCGGCTTCAGCGTTGTTGTTTTTTTTAGGGACATCTGCCATGAAACAAGGTAAAAAGGGTTTTTTCCAAATAAAAATGAATGGTATTGCTCTCCCTCCTCATCTTAATAGATACGCTCAGCACCTCCAGTTGGCGCTCTGCCTAAGCCTGTGAGGAGTTGTGCTCACTTGGTACAAATCTCTCCCCTGCTAGTCTCTATGTTCCTGTCATCTCTGTATCCACCATTACACTGTATGTAGTGGGTGCTCAACAAATATTTGTTAAACTCATTATTCCAATAGGCTCCACATGAAGAAAGCAGGGAGCAAGAGAGAGAGGGAGAATGGAAGAAAGGAACTTAAATTCTAAGGGGTGAGGGTGGGGGTGGGGG